ACCTGGAACTTTCTGGATATCCTTTCCTCTCTCGTTTTTCAAACTCTTTCTTTCTTTCTGTTTTTTTTTTTTTTTTTTTTTTTTTTTCGTTCCTTCCCTCTCATTTTTTACCCAAAATACTATAAATGTGAGCGCAAACAGAATGTACCATGACTCCTGATGAAGGCCAGACTCTGGCCGAAACTGTCGAATTAAACACTTCCGTTGTTACCGTTCTCTTGGAGGATCTACTTGACTTATTGCAACGCTACGGCCATTTTCGCCACCATGCCTGCCTACTCCAGACCGGCCACCGGCGCACCTCCAGCGGAAAAAGTATCACGGAAATTTCCTAAACATGCACCAAGTACAGCTATCATTGGAAATTCACAAACGAGATACCTTCATCGACACTTCAACCCCTACGACAAGTCAACACCGGCATTCATAACGATCCGCGGAGCATCCACTTTCGATATTGAAGATGAGCTGGCAAATGTGCCACGCTCAGTAACCACGCTCGTTTTCCACGTGGGGACGAGCGAATTGGAACTGTACGGGCCGGATGAGTCCCTTCGCCGCCTTCGCCGCCTGGTAAATAACACTCTTCAAAGACGCCCGGAACTTGACAGACTAATTGTCTCATGTGTGCCACCACGATCCACCAACAGGCGCCTACAACGTTCCAACGAGAAATTCGTCCACCGCTTCAACAGGGAAGCTCGTCACTTTAATGAGACAATCAAGACGTACTGCCGGAAACCGGGCAAGGTGTCATACATCGACTATGAATTCGACCAACTGCCAGCCAGACGTTTCCTTGCTGCGGACGGACTACATCCGAGCTTCATGGGGGTAGCACTCATTGCTCAAACGCTGAAAGGGGCAATATATCGCGGGAACCTCGAGCCTGCCGCGGGGTGGTCATCCCAACCTACCACTCCCATCCAAATGCGAACAGAAGAATATCACCAGGGAACCAGAAGTCACCAACACGTTCCCGGAGCACTGCAGACCTCTGACACCACGACAGAGTTCCCAACGATCGTTGAAAGTATAACACCTCGACGCCCGATACAGCCCACCGTCATCGACAGCAGTACCGCACCTTCCCAAGAGGTGAAACCTGCCGACCAACAGAGGCGTGTTGCTCTATTGCCGACCCCACCCAAAGAAACATCGAGCAACACGGACATCCTGCCCTCAACGCTCGCTCGGAGCTCAACGCCTGCCAGCAGCTCGACGCCCGGATCATCCTTTCAACGACGAAGGCCTACACAACACACCTACAACCTGCGGACTTCTGCAGTGCCGTCCCCGCGCCCAAAAGAAGACTGACTTCCAATCTGTAAGTCCAGCTCTCTGCTCTCCGGTTACAGTGCCACTTTTCTTAAAGTAAGAAAACTCACGGATAAACGAATCAGACATGCAATGCATAGATCGACGCTGCAAGTATACCTAAATGCTAGAATAGCCCCCAAAGGAATGACACTCTCCATCACCCCTGCCGCCACAAATCTCGACGAAAACAACCAGGCCGCATGGCAAAACGTCCTTCTAGAAGCATCACTCAAGCTAACAGAAATTGCAATCAACCACAGTGAAAAACAAGTAAAGAAACTGACCAACATGACCAACGCCATTCTGCGCGACAACAACCACTTATCAAACGAGGAAATCACCCTACTAACAGAGTTCGAACAGAATAAATACCAAGAGGTCAAGAAAACTAAAATACAGAAACTTAAAAGAGACAATGTTTCCAACCCCACACTACCAGACGCTACACTGTATGACTACAACACATTCACCCACGAGGAAACTCACGGCACAAACAAGAAAACACCTATCAACACTCACTACGACGCTGCGATTATAAACCTATCAGACACGAGTTTGTCAACTGATGAAGTAAAACTATTATCTAAAGGACTAAACTTCTGCCCAACTAGAAAATCTTTCGATGAGTTTCACTTACTCCGAGACCTCGACAACTTCGCTAGAAAATTGAGGCTGCACGAATATTTCTTGGACAAGCCGTCTAACATTCCAAAGACTCCCCGCCACCAAACAAGCGATTGGACACCAAATAGTCATCGAGACAAGTGTCTGGACTTATATATTAACGCGGTCCAGAAAGATATATTACAGGAGTATCACAGACAGAAGGGAAAGCGGGAAAACATGACAAAATCCGAGAAAAAGAGTATGCAAAACCTAACATCTAGGACTGATATAATAATAAAGCCCGCTGACAAAGGAGGGGCAATTGTAGTCCTAAATACAACCGACTACCTACAAGAAGCATACCGTCAACTAAACGACTTAAAATTCTACGAACGCCTCCCAGGGGACCCGACAGAGAAATACACGCGTATTGTAGCAACAGAACTGAAGAAGCTGTTGGACGAGGGAAGAATAACACGCAGTGAGCACAAATTAATGCGGCCAGTACACCCTCGTCCAGGGCGCTTCTACATACTCCCAAAAATTCATAAACCCGGTAATCCAGGCCGACCAATCATTTCAGGTATAGGCACAGTAACCGAGCCCATATCAGGGTACGTAGACAAATTAATAGGCCACATTCCGTGCACTCTCGGGTCGTACGTAAAAGACACCTCACATTTTCTTCGAGATATTGCAGACCTGCGCATTCCGAAACACTCATACTTAGTTACCCTTGATGTGTCTTCACTTTATACAAATATTCCCCACGATGATGGCATAGCGGCATTAAAAAACACATACACAAACCATAGACAACCTGACACCCCAGATTTCTCTGCCATCGCAAGCCTCACAAGACTTGTATTAGAACTGAACTCATTCGAGTTCAACCAAGAGTACTTTCGACAAATCAGCGGCACCGCCATGGGTACCAAACTCGCACCAAACTATGCTAACATTTTTATGGGAGAACTAGAAACCGAATTTTTGTCCCAAACTCCCTTGAAACCACTCCTATACAGGCGGTACATTGACGATATTTTTCTTATTTGGACTCACAGCGAGGATGAACTGCTAAACTTTATCGATACTTACAATACTGTGCATCCAAACATACACTTCACACACACCTACTCACAAGTAACCGTAAATTTCCTTGACGTTACCATAATAATAGAAGATGATAAACTTTCCACAACCCTCTACCGCAAACCAACAGATCGACAACAGTACCTCCATTACCAAAGTGATCATCCACGCCATTGTAAAAACAGCATTCCATACGGCCAGGCCCACCGTTTTAAGCGAATTTGCTCAAAAGACACTGACTTCCACGCGAGCTCACAAAAGCTTAAACTCGTGCTCGAAAAACAGAAATATCCTCCACATGTAATTGATGACGCTATTCAAAAAGCTAGAAAACTTCAGCGTGATGACCTTCTGATGAAGCGGCCACCACAACACAACCTGCAACAGACACACCTATGTTTAACATACAGCACGAATTTCCCCAACGTTAACAAAATCCTTAAACGACATTACAACATACTGGAACAAAGTGAACGTCTAAAACGTGCATTCCCATCGGCTCCTGGCGTCGTTTACCGACGAACACGCAACCTCAAAGACACACTTGTAAACTCCCAAATCAATACTTCAACTTCCGACAGTTCATGCCGACCTTGTCTGAAGCCTCGATGTTTTGTATGCAAAGCGATGCGAGATACAAGCAAGGCAAGCAGCACACAATCCAACTTTTCAATTAACATACGAGGAAATCTAACATGCGATTCCCCTAATGTGGTATATCTACTTGAATGCAACGTGTGCGGCATGCAATACATCGGACAAACGGAAACACCCTTTAGGATTCGTTTCAATAATCACAGAGCCCACGCGAAATCAGCGCCGAATCTACCTCTATCAAAACACCTTAACCTTCCCGGCCACTCCTTCGACAAATTGTCAGTCACACTTTTAGAAACAGGATTTAAATCAAACCGGGAACGTGAACAACGTGAATCATACCTCATACACCGATTTAACACCCTCGAAAAAGGCATAAATGAAAGTCCGGGTACACTTGCAGCAATCAAAGCACTATAATATATACATATGCATTTATATGTGTATATGTACTTATGCATATGCGCATATGTATGGGGGTGTATGTGTGTATATGTAAGTTTATAATTGTAATCATAACAGTTCAAGATTTCGCGGCACTGTGGCGGCGACGAGGACTGGACAACTACAAATATCTTTGCGTGTTTCAGTGAACCACTGTCGTCTATTTCTATTTCTCTGAATAACCGAACAATAGTTGTAAGCCCGACTTGTCGAAGGGTCACCGCATGCACAACTACTTCAAACGCCCCTTCTCGCCTTTTGGCAACCCTTCCCCGATTTTGGCAACAAAGCCCGACATCCACATACACAACTAAACGCCCCGAACGCGGTTTCCCAGTACAAAATAGCAATCACTTCAAACGTCCTTTCTCGCAGTTTGGAAACCCTTCCCGCATTTCGACAACAAAGCCCGACATATAGAAGGGCCACCCCATACACAATTAAAACCCCCAAACGCGGATTCGCAGAGCAAAATAGCATTCAAAACGACAGACAGCGCCTTAAGAAACATTTTCTCCCGCGCCGACTTCCTGGAGCCTCGGAACGCTGTCCCCGACGCCGAATTAGTGACGGTCTTTAAAAAATAAAAAATAAAAAATAATAATAAAAAAAGCATTTTTCGCGACACGCAAGCCCTTACCTTAGCCAGGCCCCGTCTACAATAAAGGGACCGCCACCAAACTGCACTGAACGCAATACTAAGAAAATACACACTGACGACGCCACTCGCGAAGCACAGTGGAACCTGGAACTTTCTGGATATCCTTTCCTCTCTCGTTTTTCAAACTCTTTCTTTCTTTCTGTTTTTTTTTTTTTTTTTTTTTTTTTCGTTCCTTCCCTCTCATTTTTTACCCAAAATACTATAAATGTGAGCGCAAACAGAATGTACCATGACTCCTGATGAAGGCCAGACTCTGGCCGAAACTGTCGAATTAAACACTTCCGTTGTTACCGTTCTCTTGGAGGATCTACTTGACTTATTGCAACGCTACGGCCATTTTCGCCACCATGCCTGCCTACTCCAGACCGGCCACCGGCGCACCTCCAGCGGAAAAAGTATCACGGAAATTTCCTAAACATGCACCAAGTACAGCTATCATTGGAAATTCACAAACGAGATACCTTCATCGACACTTCAACCCCTACGACAAGTCAACACCGGCATTCATAACGATCCGCGGAGCATCCACTTTCGATATTGAAGATGAGCTGGCAAATGTGCCACGCTCAGTAACCACGCTCGTTTTCCACGTGGGGACGAGCGAATTGGAACTGTACGGGCCGGATGAGTCCCTTCGCCGCCTTCGCCGCCTGGTAAATAACACTCTTCAAAGACGCCCGGAACTTGACAGACTAATTGTCTCATGTGTGCCACCACGATCCACCAACAGGCGCCTACAACGTTCCAACGAGAAATTCGTCCACCGCTTCAACAGGGAAGCTCGTCACTTTAATGAGACAATCAAGACGTACTGCCGGAAACCGGGCAAGGTGTCATACATCGACTATGAATTCGACCAACTGCCAGCCAGACGTTTCCTTGCTGCGGACGGACTACATCCGAGCTTCATGGGGGTAGCACTCATTGCTCAAACGCTGAAAGGGGCAATATATCGCGGGAACCTCGAGCCTGCCGCGGGGTGGTCATCCCAACCTACCACTCCCATCCAAATGCGAACAGAAGAATATCACCAGGGAACCAGAAGTCACCAACACGTTCCCGGAGCACTGCAGACCTCTGACACCACGACAGAGTTCCCAACGATCGTTGAAAGTATAACACCTCGACGCCCGATACAGCCCACCGTCATCGACAGCAGTACCGCACCTTCCCAAGAGGTGAAACCTGCCGACCAACAGAGGCGTGTTGCTCTATTGCCGACCCCACCCAAAGAAACATCGAGCAACACGGACATCCTGCCCTCAACGCTCGCTCGGAGCTCAACGCCTGCCAGCAGCTCGACGCCCGGATCATCCTTTCAACGACGAAGGCCTACACAACACACCTACAACCTGCGGACTTCTGCAGTGCCGTCCCCGCGCCCAAAAGAAGACTGACTTCCAATCTGTAAGTCCAGCTCTCTGCTCTCCGGTTACAGTGCCACTTTTCTTAAAGTAAGAAAACTCACGGATAAACGAATCAGACATGCAATGCATAGATCGACGCTGCAAGTATACCTAAATGCTAGAATAGCCCCCAAAGGAATGACACTCTCCATCACCCCTGCCGCCACAAATCTCGACGAAAACAACCAGGCCGCATGGCAAAACGTCCTTCTAGAAGCATCACTCAAGCTAACAGAAATTGCAATCAACGACGGCGTGACGAGACGAAATGAACACCAGCGAGCAAGCGCGCTGCGTCACGTCGAAATATATTGGTGCCTTGACTCTGGCATGTAGCCATGTTCTCACAAGACACACATCTCATGATTATCATGCTTGCACCAGTTGTATACCTTCGTCATCCATTGGCGTCACGTAATACCAAATTTTGGCATATGTGAAGCTAGCCAAGCGACCACGAGCGCATCATCAGTGCGGCACGTGGTCATGTTCTTACATGACACGCATGTCGTGATAGATGTGTCATTTACCTAAGTCGTCCGTTCGCGTCACGTAATACCGAGATTGGTACATGTGAGGCTAGCGAAACGGCCGCGAGCGCATCATGAGCGTTGCATGTAGTAATGTTGTTACATGACACGCATCTCATGTTTATCATGTTTGCACCAGCATCATACTTTTTTCATCCATTCACGTCACATAATAGCTAATTTGGTATAAGTGAAGCTAGCGAAACGGCAGTCAGTGCATCATGAGCGTGACATGTAGTCATGTTTTTACATGCCACGCATCTCTTGGTTGTCATCTTTGCACTAGTGACACACCTTCGTCATCCGTTCACGTGCTGTAATACCAAATTTGGTATATGTGACGCTAGCGAAACGGCCGCGAGTGCATCGTGAGCATAACATATAGTCATGTTGTTACACGACACGCATCTCGTGATTTTCATGTTAGGATCCGTCGTTTGTATTCGCCATGCAATCAAACAATACCACACCAGTTTTGCAACATGCAACGTGAACGAAACCACCGCAAGAACGGCCGAATCATTTATTGTACAATGTTGCTGCACAAGTTTGAATAGTGCCCCGCCGCGGTGGTCTAGTGGCTAAGGTACTCGGCTGCTGACCCGCAGGTCGCGGGATCAAATCCCGGCTGTGGCGGCTGCATTTCCGATGGAGGCGGAAATGTTGTAGGCGCGTGTGCTCAGATTTGGGTGCACGTTAAAGAACCCCAGGTGGTTCAAATTTCCTGAGCCCTCCACTACAGTGTCCCTCATAGTCACACGGTAGTTTTGGGATGTTAAACCACACATATCGATCAATCAAGTTTGAATGGTGGAATAATACAACGCAACCGATGAAGTTGAAATTGACCTATGTCGGTGAAGCTTTCACGTATGACTGCATTCTGTGTAATCGATGCCATGTTTGAAAAAAAATGGCAGCATATCCACGGGGTGAATAATATAGAGTGGGGCGAAGCATCCGTCCGCCCATTCGTTTTTGCTTCCATTCGTCCATGCGTCTGTGTGTGTGACCGTCTGTGCATCCATCCGACCGTCCGTGCGTGTGTCTGTTCGTGCGTCTGCACGTACATCCGTGTGTCCATCCCTGCGTTCGTCCATACATCCGTCCCTGCGTCCGTCCATGCGTCCATCCGTCCGTGCAGCCTTCTGTGCATCCGTCGATGCATCTGTCTGTGTGTCTGTTAGTCCATCTAGTCAACACTCCAAGTGCCACCATCTCGCCTCTTTTTATCATATATTCCGCATATAGAAACACCGCCATAGCGAACATTTCAAGGACTAAACGAGAGGTGGCACACGCACACTTTCTTACAGCTTGCTACACTTTCTTACAGCTTACAGCTACTTCCCACTTTTAACAACCTCGAGTTTATGGTGCATACTAGGTCACTGTATTCATGGCACTGCGGCTCAACGCTCGCTAAACCTTTCTAAAAACAAGAAGGTTATGCCCAGCGAGTATAACCTAGCAGCCCTTTCTTGTAAGTTGGTGCTCAATGTACATGCCAATGGCTGCTAATGGGAAATGAGAGACAGGAGAAATCGGCTTTTAGGTAACATGCACTCTGCGATTTTTTTATTGTTCAACATCGCACAGGAGAAATCTCCCACCGGCCTCACCTTGCAGGTTAAAGCGTAAGACATGTTACGTACTAAGACGACGGACGAACGGGTGCCTCTTTAAGGAGCTTCAACCCTCAAAAACCCCACGTTAAACATTACCATGTGACATGCTACAGTGCATCTGTAGCTAATTACCAGAAGCAGTTCCAGGAGTATGCTGAAAGACACTTTTTACTTATGATGAAGACAAATTGTTGGCACTAGTGCTCCCCTCAAAGCTGTGCCTCTCCACGTAAGCTGTGAACAACAAGTACTCCTCGAAACTCACTCGAGGGAAGAGGAGATCGCACTTCATATGGACCATTTCACTGTTTGTGTAGAAAGAGTGTTGAACAATTTAGAGTAATAGGTACTCTGCAAACACAGGCACACAATGATATTCGCTGACGTCTGACTATGCTCTCCAAGAGCATCGGTGAGCAAGAAGAGCTTTAAAAACTAGTCCGCTTATTTTCTACTCTTGCTTTCTCTTATTTGGCAAAATATTATCAAATGAATTTTTTTAGGCTACGTACAAATGTAGAGAGACTTCCTTAACCGTTATGCACGTTTTTTTTATTCGAAAACCTAAAGACACACTTTCTTTACTCTGCAAAAACCTGAGAATGTGCTTTCAGTTTCGGCGTTAGGAGCTGGTAAATGAGGTGACTGGAAATTTTTTGGGATACAACACTTGCAACCTCAAAACCGTGAATAATAAACATGGTCAGGTTATTTTGCAGCGTGCCTCACGTGGAACCACAACGCCGTCCACATGGAACCGAATGTTGAAAGATGTTCGGGCACAGCGACAGGGACGTCGACCAGTTTGCGTACAGGCTAATGACGTAAGCAGCCTCTAAGCACTGTGCCAATTCCACACTGTCGGCGGCGTAGTGTTCGGCCCACCTAGAACCCGTGGCGCACCTCGTCCTGAGGGATGGTCCATGGGCTAAAAGCCAAGCCAGACATCATAACAGTGAGCTGGAACAGTCCGTTACCTGTGTGAATCATATAAAAACATACAAAATAGACATAAGTGTCAGACGGTGACTGCTCAATAGTGTTAAAGAAAACTCAACAGTTTTTAAATAGTTGGAAAGTATCTTATTCTGCTAAATACTTTCATTTTAAGGGACATGCGGAAGAGAAATTCTGCATTCTCCTTCGAAGTAAAAATCTACAAGTATTATCAGTATGCCTAATTTTGCACAGTAGCAAAGCGGTTAATAGGAAATCCTGCCATATAGCTTTTTCTTCGTGTGAAAGAAAGAATAACCCAAGTAGGAGTGCTCATGGTAGTAACTGAGAAAAGAGAGATAAATAATGTTTAGGTGTAGTACGGTACCAAAAAAATATTTAGGAATTCTGGAAAGTCCTACCACTTGGGGAACACCGTGATGTGCTCCCATTTGAGGCTGTTCAACCAAATCTATCCACCGCATCGCAGGCCCTGTCGTGAGCCAAGCATTGTAGGGTATGCTTCGACCTCTTAAGGGTTGAGCTTCATTTCTGCCGTTTGAGGTTCTTATCTCCCAAGTTTTAGCAGTTAGGGTATGCAGTAGAATTTAGTGACGATCAGCAAATGCAAATCAAAGTTCTGCTTGCCGTGAAGCTAAAAATACCTCAGCCGATGATAACGTCTCTCTAGATAGACGTGATTCTGCAATAGTTGGTGGCTGAGCATACATAAATAAAAATATACCACGAAATAAAAAAAAACATTACCAGTGCAGCGGTCGTTGCCCTAATGGTAATCCCGTGACTGGTGGAGGTCTGGCAAAACGAACAGGTAAAGAAATGATGACAGCTACACAAAAAGTTCGGATCGTGAACTGAATAGTAACTCCACTGCAAAGTTCTCCACCGACGAAGTTCCCACTGCACAGAGAAGTTCAGTGAACTACACAGGAAGGACGAACGAGAGAAGGAGTTCCTTCACTTTTCTGGGACAGTCTAGCCTTATTTGCAAGCCGAGTACTTCCTGGAAGGACGCAGTGCCCATATTTACTGAGAGAAAAGAAAAGGAACGCAAAGACAATGTAAGGAAGGTAGCACATAACAAAGGGGCTGACCTAAAAACCACATACTTGATATATCTAGCACATACCTCTTTGGCGATGTTAGTGTCCCAAGAAAAGCGACAGAGTATTGACATCGGCTTTTGTTTTTTTTTACTTCTTTGTATGAGTCGGCATAACGAAGAAGAATACAATGGTGAAAAAAACTCGCTGCGAAAACACGACTGGCTAGCATGGAGCTTTGCGAAAGGAGGTGAAAGGAAATGCGCGTGTGCTGCAACTCTTATGACTGCCATTCTACGGTGAATCAAAGCAGGGAACACATTTTCAGTGGTTTTCATGAAGCGAACGACTTAGCTCCTGAGCTGAGGAATGGTAAAGAATTGGTGATGACTGTTTTGAGCTAAGTTCAGCATCTGGCGCGGCTACGAGGTGGCAGATCCGTAATATGGTGCGCCAGCTTGTCGCTACCACCTTGGCTTGTTTTGCCGCTCATTCCGATCAGCTGTCAAGGAGTCACATGCGGACGCACAAAAGAGAAAACGGCGCAAATGTTGGAGCAGCCCTTGACGAAACGCTGACTTCCTCGGACGGCGAAAGCTCAGAGATATGGGAGCCTGCACACATTACGGGTTAATGAATTATTTCGCCCGTACTGTGTCGCAGCTGTCACCGCCACAAATGTCTTGCCACAGCCATCAGGACGGTTTTTATACTACTATTTTTTGCATTTGCTTTCACTATTTCTTGTGCCGGCTGTCATAAGCACTCTTTTTTGACCGAGAAGCATATTCTAGTTACTCTCACTTATGTTTCATTGGTTGCTCTTTTCCTTAACACAGTGATTTCTTATTGCGGCTTTCTTTCCTCATGGCTTTCATGGCTTTCTTGATGAATTCATTGTGTTCTCAACACCAAGCGGACTGTAGAGCATTTTGTGAGGTTGAGTCTAGAGCTAGATGACTGGCCTCTGCTGCATAAATCAATCAAACACAAAAAAGCAAAAATGTAACAGACATGAACACTACTAACGAACACCTGGTAAAATTATGCAATCGGATGCGGCTGGCATTCTTGGCAGCCGGTATTTT